TCTGAGTGTCGTTTATACATAGGAAAACCTTTTTTTAAATCCAACCACTATACTGAATTTATTGTTACCTTGTAATATATTTTCAGTCACTGATGTCATCTGCAAATAATTAGTTGTTTGTAACAGGGCAAAAAAAAAATTCCATTGTCCAATAGTTAATTCAACTATACACTTAGACATCCAGACACCTGGAATTATGATAGTGTTCACATCTGTGCGTTTATTATTTTTAAATTTATTTTTACCTTCAATTGAGATATATTTCAAAAGTACAGAAAATTTTAAACATTAACATACGTATCATCTAGACTTAACAGATACTAACTTTTTGCCATATTTGTCATCTCTCTCCTTTTTAAACAAACAAACGAAAAAACCTGGTAAAATACTACAGATATACCTTAAGCCTCTCCACTGTTATCCTCTCTTCCTCCTCCTTCCAGAGTGACTCTTATGCTGAGGTTGGTGTCTGTATCACCCTACACTCTCTACTGCGTATGTATATATATAGTTTGGGTATTTTAAAAATGTATATTTTATGCGGTTCAAATGTCCTGATTTAAAATTAATAAATATACGCCCCTTATGGAAAATTCTAACCTTTATAGATATTTATGGGACAGAAAGTTAAAAATGCTTCATAATAATCTCTTTAAGAAAGCTGCTATTCACAATAAGGTGTTTCATTTTTACCACCCATGCCGTTAGGTTGCATATAGTAGAATCCAACACTCTCTGAGCTGCTTAACAAAAGAATGCCTTTGCAAGGGAAGACTAATTGGGGTATATATTTACCACCACATCGTGTTCTCTACTGATAGTTCTTTATCTTGTTAAAAAAAAAAAAAGAAAAGAAAAGAAAGGAATCTCAACAAAGGTTACAAGACTTTAAGTGGGTTTCAACAGGGAGACCCTTCATTGTTTATACCGTGAGCTACAGACTTACATAGATTTGATTGCTGCGCCTGATAGGAGCCACTGCTGTACAAAGCAGACAGCCTTGATGAGCAGCTGGTAAACTTGGAGCACATATAAGACAATCAAAGGAAATCTACATATAAACTTCTCCATTCGAGGAAAGGTGGTTTTTCCATTTGCCTTTTTCTGAGCAATTTAACTTCCTAATTACATGATCCAAATTGTTTCAGAGACTATGTAAACCATATGTTTGCTAAATGATGGAGACAAACACGGGGAAGTCTGATTAGCATCAACTTCCCTCAGGAAAGGGGTTTCTTTCCCAGCCCAGCTTTGCCTGCTTTCTACTTACTGAACATGGGTGAGTAAGCAGAGGATGGAAATAGGGTTGGAAATAGTTCATCTGGCTATGGATTCTCCCCTCTTCCTTCTGCTTAAGTACATATTTTTACACAAACTTTATCCTTTTGTATCAGCATGAGATAGGTACTGTTTAATACTAGAAGAAGGAATTTCATTTAGTATTTAGCAGATTTGGAGAGGGGAAAATATGATTATTTTGAACCTTTATAAGATTAAGTGTGTGAGTGTATATGTGTGTGAGAGAGTAGGAACAACGAGTAGGCTAGCAAGCGTGAGCTACTTTTCAGTTTTTGTATTATTGGGTTTGAATAATAGTTGACAAGGATAAATAATTTACTATGGTTACATGAAATTAAATTTATTTATATAAAATTCATTGAAAGAGTAGTGAAGAAGTTGTAAACATTATTTTTACATGATGGAGAAATTTACAGGTCAAGATAAAATAATGATGTTGGGTGATTGCTCTTGAATGGGTTAAAAACAAAAAAATGGGCAAACATGTTTCCTGCATCCTATTTTGGATTCAGAAGTCAAAACAGCAGGAAAATTTCTTGTTTAGATGGATGTGCAGATGTGTAGGAACGGGTACCTGGAATGAACTCACATAGCTATGAATGTGGTGGCTGCAGTTAATCATCCAAACTGGACATTTGAGTGGACAACAAGAATAAAAATGGGTCAACGGTCACCCTAGCTCTAATGGCCTTTTAGTTGTTATTGCAAAAGAGAACAATTAAAAACATTCTATTAATTTATCTTACTTCTGTCTCTAATTTCTACCAAAGACAAAGATTCAAAGCTTTGAGGAAACACAATAGCTGGTATTGTTTGTATTTAGGCAAACACTGGGGAAAACATGAACTCTGAAAATTAAGAGGGAAATAAAAAGACTTAAGTAGTTTATTCTTATTAGTTTACATTAGTTTCCTGTGAACTCCTGGTCTTGAATTTTATTGGGGACTTTGTGCTATGTGAAACCACTTTATGCTGAAGAATTTTTAGAGCTTGAGTCATCTCAAAGGATGGTTTTATAGCATAACATTTCTTGGCCTTTTATTTCTTTGGAAATACAAAAAATACCTATGCAGTTTCATGGTTTAGGGCACCACCTAAACACCTCGTGTGCATAACATTAGGGTCCTCGGATTTCTCTATGTGAAGTCTCTATCCAAAGAATTACTTTTAACCAGAAATGAGTGTCTTTGACTAACAGCTCATCTTTTTTTAACTTGTGAGTTGGACCAAGAGTGACCAGAGGTGCAGAGAGAGGACAATAGCAAGGAATCCTGCGTTCGTTCACCTTGTTTTTTTCTCATGTTTCTGATGTTGTTAAGGGTTTGCTTTTGTTTTTTGTTTTGTTTCATTTTAGTTTAAGTCCTGGGCTGTTAAATCCATGTCTCGGATATCTAGGAAAACGTTATAAACTTATTCTGCTCTGCCAAAAACTGATTGCTTTGTTTCTGGTAAACGTGGTCTTTTAAAAAATATAACCTTATTTGTTTATAAAGTGTATTATCCTGCTTCCTCCTTTTATAAAAATCACGTGAGCTTCGATAAGCTTCATTTCGATGTGAGTAATACTTTGCATATCCTGAGTGTGGCTGTGCTGGTCTGTAGGCAGTTTCAGGAGACCTTTGGAGATGATCTTGCCTTGTAAACTTTCAATTAATACGGATTAGTTTCCAAGCAACAAAAGGCCTGATGAGAAGGCAGTATTTTGCTTATTTATATGGTCACTGTGTTTGCTGTTTTTTGAAGGGAAAATCTATCAAACTAAATTTTAGAAAAGATCTTGAAGATTTTCAAGGAGCTTTACAAAAGAGTGGTTGACAGGCAGACATCCACTACTGAATGAAAGAAATTCTAAGAAATCTTGAGCAAAATGGCCTATTCTGAAATTCCAAGTATAGTTGACTGGGCACAAGAATTTTTCTTTTCTCTTAGCTCCCCTTAGTTTACACATCTATGTTTATTATTAAATAGTTGATATTGTTTCTAGAATATATTATGATTTATTGCACAGTCATCTATTTAATTCAATGATTATTTATTGAGCTCTCCCGTGTTCAATCGCAAGAGTGCAGGTTCACGAGGGAGAGCTGTATCTAAACAGGGCTGAGGTTTTTTAAGGAGATGAGTATGTATGCAAGGAGCGATTATAACTACATGCCAAGAAATCCATGCTGGGTAATTTAATAAATATGGATGAGAGGACACAAAGGGTTTAAGGATAGGGGAAAGGTGGTAGAGTCAGTGTCTTGTAGGAACTGGTGGGCTAAAGAATCGGGGTTGATTGGAAGAGTTAAATTGGAGAGACAGATGGTGCTGGTTAGAGAGAGGTTGCAGATAGTAATGATAAGGTCTGCGGTATGACAATGGAAGGGTTGCTGAAGTAAGACAGAGGACCAGACCATTAGAGAAGGGGAAGTCAAGGACCTGAGGGGCCAGGGTAATGGAAAGCTCTCCTACATGGGAAGTCAAGAAGTAAGTAATGTTGGGGAGAGACAGTGAGCCAGCAACTAAGCTCATGAGGGAGGATGAGGAGCGATCCAGGGGTCTGTAAATAACTATGATTATGAGATGGAGACTGATGGCTGAGCTTCAAAGCTGAGGATTTCTTGGGAGGAGGAAGTGATCATTGTCTAGGAGCAGCCATGAGAAGCAAGCAGGCAGAGACCCTTCAGGTGAGGTGATGTTCTCTCTAGGGAGGGCCAAGTTTCTGTTAAGGCGAAAAGGTAAAGGGAGGTTTTAGAGCAGCGGTCGTCAACTGTTTTGGCACCAGGGACAGGTGCTCCTATGAATCAAGTGCCTGATGATCTGAGGTGGAGCTGAGGCAGTGATGCTAGCACCGGGGAGCAGCTGAAAATTCAGATGAAGCTTCACTTGCTCACCCACCGCTCCCTTCCTGCTGTACAGCCTGGTTCCTAACAGGCTTCGGACTGGTACCAGGGTCCACGGCCCAGGGTTGAGACCCCTTGTTTAGAGAAGAGGCTGAGGATTTAGGAGATGTTGCTAGATTCCTTAAATGATGGGCATTTCCAGAGGACGCACCAGAAGGGGTTCAGGAGCCCAAGGAGGTGCGGCTGGATGAGCCGAGGTCACGGCTGGGGGTGAGCATCCAGGCGGATGGTGAACACGGGGCTTGAGAGTAGACAGGAGGAGAGGGGTCAGTCCCAGAGGTTACTGAAGCAGGTGGTAAGGCTGTGCGCTTTGGAGAGAAGAATGCATGGGGTGTCTTGCCAGAAGCAAGCAGACTTCTGGGGTGCTTCTCCCCTCCTATGTCTGGTCGCTTGGGGGCTGGAAGTAAGGCCTTGGTACCCAGCATATGGATATGTTTGGGATGCCCTCTCCATTCCAGGAGTGGAGTCAGGGCCGGGGAAGTACTATTATTTGAGCATTCCCACAATGCATGCATGTCCCACTTGTCATGACAGTTCCAGAATATTATAAAATGAAGCCTAGGATTTTTTATATTTTTTTCAATATTGCTTTTATATACTCAAGATACAATTTAGTATATTGCAGAAAAATAGTAATCACTAGGTTTAATTTGGGGTGTTACATTGATTCATAATCAGATATAATTCGAATTATAATTCATACTTTTAAAAAGTCATTCTCTCCTTATCCTCCTTCCCCTAATGTGACTTGAAAGTGACAAGGTCACAGCCTTATCTACTGAATTATTAACATGTTCCTTTCCCTTTTCCTTATAGTGAAGAAAGTTACAACGTCAACGATTATTCCTTAAGAGATCAGCTGTTGGTGGAATCTTGTGACAATGAAGAGGTTAATTCTTCTCCGGGGAAGAACAGTTCCACAGGGCTTTATTCAAGACAGAGCTCTGCCAGTCACCTCTTCACACTGACTGTCCTTAGTAACCATGCGAACGAGAAGGTGGAAATGCTGCTAGGAGCTGAGACGCAGTAAGTCTGCCAGGGCAAGGGTTTCAGAACATCCGGTATCAGTCTTCTCTGCCCAGCTGTCCTTGGTCTAAGATTCCCTAGGTGCAGTACCTGGTAGCTGCTAATTTTTTTTGTTGAATACTTATATGTGCCAAGCACTGGGTCTAGCTGCTTTATACAGATGCTTGTCTTTTCACTGTGACCTTCTCCGTGTCTTGAGGGATAGATATTATTTTTGTCTCCATGAATCCTGATAGATGCATTGTACAGTGGTCTCCCCTTATCCACAAGGAATATGTTCCAGAATCCCCAGTGGGTGCCTGAAACCTCGGATAGTACCAAACCCTCTCTATACTATGTTTTTTCCTATAATGTATACCTATGATAAAGTTTAATTTATAAATTAGACACAGTAAGAGAGTAATAACAATAACTAATAATAAAATAGAACAATTCTAACCATACACTATAATAAAAGTTCTGCGAATGTGGTCTCTCTCAAAATAATTTACTGTACCATATTCACCCTTTTGTCTGTGATATGTGAGATGATACAATGCCTGCATGATGAGACAAGGTGAGGTGAGTGGCAGGCATTGTGATGTGGCGTTAGGCTAATATCGACTTTCTGATGGTACAGCTACTAAGGGACTAACGGGTGGGTAGCGTGTGCAGCATGGATATGCTGGATGAAGGGATGACTCGTGTCCAGGGTGGGACAGAATAAGAACAGGTTGAGATTTCTTCATGCTACTATGAATAGTGTGCAATTAAAACTTATAAATTGTTTATTTCTGGAATTTTCTAGTTAATATTTTCAGACCTTGGTTGACCACAGGTAATTGAAACCATGGAAAGCGAAACTGCAGATAAGTGGGGAATGCAGTGCTTTAGGTGATGTGATTTTATATTCAGAGAGTGGTTTAACAGTTATTGTACTTTGGTCATTGATAAAAAGTATGACCCATGAGCCCCAGGACTATGACTTAGCTGGTAGTTTGAGTCTAGGCTGTACGTTTTCTTAGATAATGGAATCGAAGTAATTTCTCAATTACCTACCTTCAGCCAGACAGCAAAAAGCCCAGTGCTTTCTGTCTAAAGAGATCCTCAGTTTGGGGAAACATACTGATGGGTCCTCTCTCCCATCCTGAGTTTAAACAGAGACTAACCAGTCACCCCGTTGTCCTTCTACCAATGGTTGCTGCCATCCTCACGCTGGATGAAGGGAAGGAGGCTGCATTTTCAAGTCCACCTTTGTGATTTGGTCTAGTTAGAGATAGTTGATCCATCTATTTGTTTGAAATGTGGCAACCTGCTCTTGGAACGATTATTACAGGCAAGGATTGTGCTGGATCAGAGGACGGATCAGTGGAGGGAAAGGAGAAGTTCTCTAAATCTTTGTCCTCTGCTGTCCCTACACACATCTCCCACCCATGTTCCTCCCCGCCCCAAGGTTCCCACATGGTGTGTTTAAAATGGATCAGCAGCTGGTGAATAGTCATCCTAAGACTGAAGCAAAATCTTAGTGAAAGTAAACCCAAAGAATATCTCTGCCTTTTAGGAGTGTTTTAACAGTGTTCCTGGTTCATTAGAGACATACATAAGAAAAAGGTTAAAATTAGAAAGCATTTATATAAAACATTCAAAGATTTTATACCCTTTGGCACTAGAAATAATTTTGCAAAGTCTGGAAGGAAAAACAAGAGAGATGGGTTGACATAAAGCTATTTGAGGTTTGAAAACAGCTAAAATAGAGTATTCCAAAGGAACTTGAGCTCTAACAGAGGGTATGAATAAGAAATGGTGCCTCATCCTGTATGTTTATTTATAAGACAAAGAAATGGCTCTCCTAAAGGTGCCAGGGTACCTCCATTGAAACTGCTGAAAAGCCCTGACATTCCCAAGCATGCCCCTCTGTGTTTGCCTCTCTGGGGAGGGGACTTTGAGTGAGTGTGGTGCTTGCTGGTGTGTGTAGGTGATCAGCAGGAGACACAACCAAGACCAGGGCTGAGGAAAGCATTTCTTCAACTCTAAATGATTCAATTGCTTGGCCAGTGAAGACAGAGGTAGACTTCCTTTGGGGAAGCCTCTGATAAAAAGAGAATTTAATATGTCTGAGCTTTGGATTTCATATGACTTTAAGGACGAACAAATCTTAAACACTTTGGGGGTTAGTGCTTGTCCAGATGTTCTACAGAATTCTCAGAAACTAGAGATAGTCTTTCATCATTTTTAGTTAGTAATAGTGAAAGTGTTGGTTTTGCTTTGTGTTTTCCTTTTCTGTGTTTATAAGGATTGTTTGTTTTTCCTATTCAGGCCTTGCCAACATTTCAACAGAGCTCTTCCTGACTGTCTCACTCACAATTTCTGTGATCCCCACCCCTTGTTTCTGAGGTTACTAGAAGAGAGTAGGAAGTAAACTGACACACCCACTTCTTTTCACACCAAGGCCTGATCCATTCCTGGGACGTTCCATCGCATTTGTTCCTTCCTCCTGCCTTTTGATCTTGCCGTGGGCTACATGGATATTCATTTCCTCAGTCAGAAATGTTCTCAGAATGTCTGGTTATGTCACCCCTAAACTCATGGGTATGACTCATATTTGTAATTCTTTAATTAATAGTAAGAGAACATTCCAGAAAGGGCAGAAGGGCAGATGTCTCCTTGGGTACAGAAGGAGTGACTCCCTCACTCTCCCCCACCACCAGCTCAATTACAGTGGAAAAGTAAATAACTAGACACATACTTTTAAGCACACAAGGCGACAAACAGCATTGGTGTTGAAGGAAATATTATAGCCAAGATGCATTTTCCCTTAAGAAACAATTGGCTGCTTGGAATTGAAAATGTGCAGGTCATCTCTGGGCTACCTGATTTTGAGCAATCAGAGTTTGGGTCTATGTAGAATGTTGTCTTTGCTTCTAAGATTTGCAAAATGTAATGGTGAATATATATTGTATAGGTGTTCTCTCTTATATATGTGGTTAATATGGTTCATTAGCAATCTCTGAGAAAACAAGGTTTTCACCGCCATGCTGGCCTTGAGTTTTTGCAAAACTTCAGTCAATGTATATCCTTTGGCTATTCATTTTTTGGTTTGCATGAGAATAGGGTTCATACCTAAATATTTACCGTCTTTGAAAAACTGTGCTTGGTAGAGGCCATCTGGGGATATACAAAATGTAAAATAAGCAATAGGAAGGGTGCAGCTGTTTGGCATGGAGACAATTCAGTCACGACAGTGATACTATTGTGGCAGAACAGATCGATAACTTTGATTACATAAAGAATGCAGAAAAGCTCACCCAGAGGAAATGGGCAGACACACTTGGTGAGCATCTTGGATGACCCAGGCACCGAGCCAGCTCAAGAACATGTAGGGCCACATGGCTGTTTCTAGGGAAGAATAAAACCCCAGAGACGAAGGAAGCATCTGAGTAAGGTGATCGTAAATCTCCTTTCCCCAGGATTGATATTATGTCTGTTGTTACGGCAAAATTAAGAATGCCACCCTCTCTGACTCTCACACGTGTCTTGTTTAGACAATGAAATATGTGGTGACCCTAATCGTAGGTCTGTAGTCCAACTCCTTCCTCTTTCTCTCAGAGGTAAAATGAGACTCGCAAAGGTGACGTGATTTGCCTGCAGTCGTACGGGAAGCGCGTGATTGCCAACTCTGGGACTGGACCCTGACCCTCCTGAATCCAGGGTTCTAGTAACCAAGCGCAGTCTTGTTAGTGAGAAGCTGCCAGCCAGTAGACAGTTCCACCCGTACCTGGCCGCTCAAGGTGGCCTTGTTCTGCATCTGGAAGGGAACTAGGAAGCCAGTTGCTATTAAAGTGAGAAACAACTAAAATGTGGATTATTTTTTAATCCATCGACTCTAAAAAGGAAAAGGGTTGTGGCAACTTAGGTGGTAAATTTAGGGCATCGTATAATTTTACATATTTTCTAATAAAATGCTGAATAGAAATTATATCCCCCAAAATATTTTCCACTTAAAACTACCTTTTTAAAAATTTTTTTTTTTTTGCCTGTGTTTTTCCCACTGCTTGGAATGCCCTCTTCAGTCTTCCTCGAATTACCAGACGTCTCAACTCTCAGGGCCAACTCATTGCTCTACTAGGAAACCTCTCAGTGCTGATCTTGTCCCCAAGAATTATGACTGCTCATTGTGCGTGCCACACTTGTTAGTTCATTTTTTTCCTCATGTTTCCTGTTGTGCCCACTGTCCACTGTATTACTCCTGACCCCAACCCACCTCTAAATTTCCCCTTCCCATTCCAGCTGAACTTCTCAAGAGAGTAGCCTTCATCTCTCCCTGTTAATCCAGTGATTTTTATTGAGCACCTACATCCTTTCAGGTGCTATTCTCAATGCTGGGGTGAGTAGTACAGAGTGAATGGTACTGAGAACAAATCTCTGCCCTCTGGGGTCTTCTGTTCAAGTGAGCGGCTTATGTCTGTGTGCTTCCTGCCTTCCAAGAGGGTGGCTGTGGACGGCAGTGAACTTTCGCCAGTCTCCTTGGGCAAATGGCCTCCCACGAGGCTGGGACAGTGGGGAAGCATTTCTTCTTGGTCCAGTTAAATATGTAAGTGCAACGAAGACAACAAAACCAGGTGATGAGAACTGGAGTGGATGTTAATTGCTGGGGATGGGGATGTGTCCTCTAAATTAGATGCTGCAGGAAGACTTGAGTTGACATTTGAACTGAGCCCTGAGTGACAAGAAGGAGTTAACCCATGGGAAATGCAGGGCCAGTATGTTCCAGGCGAAGGGACAGCCAGTGCAGGCCTCTTGAGGAAACGCGTTTGATATCGTCAGACTTGGCTTGGACGTAGTGAATGTGGCTAGATAAGAACGAACCAGGGACAGGGTGGGTGGTCAAGAGGCCAGTAGAGGCCAGAGCATTTTGGAGCAGAGCTGTTCCAGTGCAGTTTGTGGGCCATCAGTCTTCAAACCTGTTACCAGCCTGGCACGCGGGAAGCAGTTAAGAACTTAGAGTAATCTGGCATGTATGC